ACACACACACACACACACGCACACATATGCCCGCACACACTCAGAGAATAAAGGGAATATTTGCTTTTTAATTTTTGAGAATTTCTTGACTTGGCCAGTTCTTGAATCATGAAACAACAAGCTTCAACTGGAACTCAAATCGAGCCTTAGGATTAGGAACCACACCTTAGATTCGCTTTGTGAATTATAAGAATCTGGTTTGTCCCTTTTTCTCTGAGTGCACACTTATCAGGCGAAGCAACACGCTAATGCGTCTACAAATAGGCGCACATCCAGCCAGCCATTGGCCATTCCGGCAGCTTGTCCGGGACTCCAGTGTCGCAAAACGTTTCCAATCGCATGCGGCGCATTGTTGAGCTGCCCTGCCACACACACACTTACACACACATACTCCCACACACGCACACACACATGTGCAGCAGAAGCGTGCGACATGCGATAAGCCTGTGTGGCAACATGCAAAAGAGATGCACGGCCGCCGTCTCATGAGTTCCCGGAGCTTTTCTCGGAGCTGTTGCCCCAAAAGCCCAGCCCAGCCCCCGAATGGAGGCTGAACAAAGGGCGCCAAAAAACGTCGAGAGCCAACGTCGAGAGCAGAGACAAATCCCGGTTTGTAAGCCAATTTGCACTTAGGCTTATCTAATGTCATATCATTTGTATAATGTTGTGTTGGCCTGATACTTGATACACGCTCTTCTATTGGCAGGCATGCCACGCCCCCAGCCTCCAGTTTCCCCACTCGTCTTGCTAGTGTGTGCATGTGTGTGTGTGTGCCTTATCCTCCGGGGTTCATTTCTAAGCTCATTTATGTTTATCACAAATGCGTGCCAAAGTGTGTCGTTATTCTTGTTCTTCTTCTTCTGGCTTGGCGCGAACAAAAACATTTCAAATATTCAAAAAAAGCCGCACACACATGGGCGGAGCGGGGGCGTATGCTCAACTAGTCGGAGCATGTCCTGGCCGTAGAAATTCATCTAACGGCTGTAACAGGTAATTGAACTTGGGTTATATGGCGCACAGAATGACGTGCAGCTCGGCTAACGGAAATGGAATTGAATGAGGTGCGCGCGCGCCAAATGTTACCTCTCCTTGCCATACCCTCCACGTTGCCTCCCCTGCCAGGCCCAACATAGATAGCAAATGCGTGCGAACTACATAATGTGGACATAAAAAGGATTTGCCAAACGCCAACAGCACGTGTGTCCCAAGGCATGGCAACGGCGGGGACTGGGGGGAACTGCGTCGCGTACTCAATTTCCAGTAACATTTGCCAGTCGTATGAAAGTTGCAAATTGTATGCCATAGTTTCACACACACACACACACACACTCACGCACACGCACACACAAAGAATGAACACGGACTGTATTGTATTACATCGAGCTGTGAGTATGGGGCGAGGGATGTATATGCGTATACGTACACAGAAAAAAGTAGTTGAAATAAATTGTGTTCAATTTTGTTAGAAATTCTGCCTAAGTCTGAATTAATCTTGCCGAATTACGCTAAAAAAAAAACCACAAAATAATAAGCAAACATATAAGGTATTTTTTACTGCAAGTTCTAGTTAGGTTATTTTGTAGATTGATTTTTGTTCAGTGTACGCGTATGCGTAATGCCAACTGTTGAATAATTCATGGCCAACTGGAGATTTGTGCAGATGCTGCATGCAGTATCCAGATCCAGGTCCAGATCCAGCTCGGATGGCTGCTAAGCGCGTTTGATACCGATTTGTGGCACACATAACTGTAAATCGCGCATGTGAACAACAAACGTGGCATATCCACATGTGAGAGGCATTCACTGTGAACGACTGTGAATGCCAATGCATATTTGAATAGATGGTGCTCCAGGCTCCAGGCCTTGTGTGCCCATTGCCAGCTAAATTGCAGCATATCTTGGCATGTTGTCATTACTTTCAGAGTATATACAACTAGCAGTTATTGCCCGGCATTGCTTGGCACAGGTGTTCCGCTTGAAATGATGTAATAACTTTGCCAACCGTTTTTCCCTTATATTTCCCTTTAATCAGCTGAGATCCAGCGGAAAGTCAACAAATAACCCTTATATTTCACTTCATAGTTTTCCTAACATTAATATTAATTATAGGCATCAACTTGATTTGAACTTGTTCTTTCGAGTTTCATGAGTCTGAAAAGGAATTGCTTTCCAAAATCGGACATCAGTAACCCGAGTAATGTCCATCGAAGGAATTGAGACATTTGGAATTTAAGAAATTCGAATATTTCACAGCTTTAAATTACATATTTTTTTGTTGCACTTCAATATTCCTTTTTTTTTAAATTATTTTCTATTTTTTTAACTTCTTTTAGCATTGGAATAACTTAATCCATATAAAAGAGTCGGATTCCAGCTCTAACTACGCTCTTCAGCTTTCTAAAAAGCTGCAACGTCTCAAAAACTTATTTACCGAGGTAAGTGATATTTTATTATACTTATTAGCTATGCTATATCATATGATATCTCTATATATAAAACTGTTTGTCCTGACTGACTGACTGACTGACTGACTGACAGACTGATTGCTGATCAAAGCACAGCCCAAACCGTAAGAGATATGTGATGAATGTGTACGATAAGACGGCGTTTCGGGAAATTTCACCCGGTGTTTGTCATTTGAGGGATGTTTCACACTTTTCCAAACATGTATTTCTCCTTGGCGGAAATGGGGGTCAAAGATGTGGTCGATGACGTTTCGCGCTCTAATTCATTTTCAAGAATCTATATCTATATATCTATATCAAAATCAATAGCCGAATCGATCTAGCCATGTCCGTCTGTCCGTCCGTCCGTCCGTCCGTATGTATGAACGCAAGGATCTCAGAACCTAAAAGAGCTAGAGACTTGAAATTTTAGATGTAGGTGCTCCTAGTGCCTGCGCAGATCGAGTTTGTTTCTGATAATCGATAACTTACTCCGTTTCCAAGCAATCGATAAATTGATATCGATATCCTGTTTTTTGGGCAATTTTGGTAAATAATAAGAGCTAGAGTCACCAAACTTGGCATATAGCTTCTAATATAGAATATATATATGCATTTGATGTTGGAAGAAGAGGGTTCAGGGTATCCCTTAGTCGGGAGCTCCCGACTAGAACCTCTTACTTGTTTGTAATGCCAATGCATAAAAAGGATCAAAAACTTAGCTGATTTATTGGAAAATATACAAATTGTTGTATTTGAAAAATCTTTAAATTAATTTCACCCGGCGAAATGAAGTCCTGGCAAGATCGTTGCTAATTAACACTTGGGATCCCAAAAATCTCGAAGGGTTTTGTTTTTTTTTTTTTTTTTTTTTTGTGGTCAAGTTAAAGACATTCAAGGTTCAAACATGATTGATTTTAGAGATATTCTTGCCCAGACTCTGTTGACTTTGTATGTTGCTCAGGATAGCTTTTTGCAGGACATGTGTCTGCCTTATCCAGGAGATTTACCCCATCAAGGATGTCGGTATATCTAGGTCAGCATGATAGTGCTCTTATTTATGTAATATACTGCAAATAGAAATAGAAATAGAAATAGAAATAGAGAGTGATGTCTGACTGAGTAGAGATGCGTGAGGTCGCTGGTTCAAATCCAGCTACAGTTTTCAATACTTTCTTTAATATGTGATTATTCACAAGGAAAAACCACATTTAGCTACTGGAAATAGAAATAGAGAGTGATGTCTGACTGAGTAGATAGCTTGAGGTCGACAGTTTTCAATTCCTTAATATATATATATATATATACTTATTCACCTGGTAAATAAATGTTGAGGCAATTCAGAACCTATCCCCTTATCGCCTGGTATACGCGGCATTGTTTGTGCTTGGTTCACATTCACTGCATCGGACTTCTGGCATTTCTTTTGCACTCCACGCTCACATTGCCAGACAGCATGGGGAGTGGGATTGGTTAGGGAGATGGGTAGGGGCAGGGGGAGCATGCAGCACCTCCTCGTCCGCTTTTGTTGCTGTTTTTGTGCGTTTTGTGCATTGTTGGTCTCGCTGTGCGCCTGGTGCTCGCATCTCCACAGCCAGTGGGTGTGTGGGTGTGTGTGTGTGTGTGCTGGGGTTGAGTTATGGCTGCGAATCGAAATGGGGGCTGGGGCTTATCCGACTGTGGAGAGCGCGTTGCTTTGGCTTGGTCTTGTTGTCGACGGGCGCTTCTTTCTTTTGTGCTGCAGCAGCTGCAGCCCATCCTTGCAGCCGTGGCCATGGCCATGGTGTCAACAGGTGGCGCCAAGCTCCTGGACGGCACGCGCCGTTTCACACGGTTCACCCACACACAAAAACACGGCTCACACCCGCCCCGTCTGCCCTCTCCTGTCGCCCGTCTTCCGTCCACGGGCAGCACAGTGTGAAGGACGTTCAGTTTTCTTTCGTTTTGTGGCGCAACTTTTTGTGCGTGTGTGCGTGTGTGTGTGTGTTGACTGCAAAATTTGGCCTGCTCCTTTTTGGAAAAGCCGCACGTTTTCCTCTTTGCTTTCTTTGCTGGCAGCACTCCGGGCCCGGAACCGGGCCCTTTTTGGACACCATCCCAATGCCCAATCGTCAGTCAGTTCACGCAAGGGCGCATTATGTCATCTATTTTTTTTGTTTGACTCTCGATTCGTGTCCAACTTTGTTCGGTTCGAGTGTTTAGCCTGTGCTTGGCATTTCTTCCTTTTTTTTATTTGTTCAATACAAACGCAAAAAGTCTAAAGAGAAGCGATTTATTTCGAAAATATTTTGATTCATTTCGAATGAATTCAATACATAACATTTTGACAATAAATAAATAAAATCAATAAATAAAATAAAGTAAATAGAATAAAATGAACCAATCTAAACGTTTATTCAGGAATCGGAGCACAAATTTACGATATATATTGTTTTGATAATACCTTACGGTCATCAGAAAGAAAATCCAAGTAAAAGTTTGTTTTCTGGCAATAAAACTTTATTTACAACTTGTCGCTAATGGAACTAGCTAAAATCACAGAAATTCTATTGACATGGTTTTATACTCATATATATATTATTTAAGTAACTTCTTCTTCTTGGCTTTGTTAAGAGTGTGTGAGTGGGAAATTGTTCTGGGAAATGGCCTTTCCTATCCGATCCGATGATGAAGAGAGTTTCGTCAGTTCTGTAAAAATCCTACAAGATCCTTATGTCTCATTCCAGATCCTTTATAGAAAAACAGTTTCGAGCCAGAATTCTCTTGATATAATTTAAGCATTGTTTGATGCTTAAATCACTCCAAATAATAATTTTATACGTCCAGCTCGACTCGACTATGCAATAAGCAGGATAACATCTCCTTTTTTTTTTTTGCTCTTAGGAACGTTGAGGTGTTCCCTTAACCAGGTTTTTAAACTTCTGTCAACGTATCTGAATGCTGCAATAGAAAAATAAATAAAACATTAGAATTTGCCTACTTTCAGCACTAATTCGACCATTAAAAATGATTTTGTGCTAATGTAAAATTATAAAATATTTATATAGTGTATAAAAAGTATAAAACTTTGTGTAGATCCGCGCTTTTGTTGCAAACAGAAAATATCTCAGAATCGAACATAAGGTATTCCAAATAATATATATATATATATATTATTATATAAAAATATGCTGAAGATCAGAGAGAACGTATTTAAATATTTTACGTGAAAATAATTCTTGTGAATATCGTGTATTCTTAAGCTGGTTTGTGTCTTGGCTTTTCGCTGTCTGCACTGATCAAATTTGCGATAAAATTTTCGCACACTACTTACTGAAACTGGTTTGTGTCCGGGCTTTTTCGCTGTGCAGATCAAAATTGCGGCAATGTTTCGCACACGTCTTTTAGAAACTGGTGTGTGTCTAGGCTTTTTCACTGGCTGTGCTGCTGATCAAGTTTGCGGCAAAGTTTCGTTCACATCTTTCACTCGAAAGCTCACTCGACGCTTAAAGCTCATTTGAGCGTTTCGGCTGACGGCCATGAGCGAAGCGTTTTCGAGTAGTTTGCACAAATCCAAACTAAGCCCAACAAAAACAATAGATAAGCAGCAATTGGCTTGGGAGGGGGGCATAAATCAGTGGGAAGCGCTCTTAAGACTCAGATATGCTTAAGAGCGGCAACGCGAAGAGAATGTCGAGTGGGCGGCCGGGCACAAGTTGCTCGCTCTTCGCAGCGAAAGGAAACTTGTTTCGGTGGGAGAAGTGGGCGCCGCTTTGAAGGAAAATGGGAAAATCGAGCGCATAAAAAGGACTATAACAACAGTAGCTGCTGCAGACGCGGGGCCAGCTCCAAAAAAAAAAAAAAATAACTCGAAAGGGCAATACATAAATGGAAAAGAAAACGAGACGCAATGAAAGGAACGTGCGCACTTCGGCGTCGCTGTCAGCGTCGGCGTCGGCGTCGACGTCGACACAAGCTTCGGCTGCGCAGCTTCAAGCTTGTGTCTATGTGTGTGTTTGTGTGTGTGTGAGCTCATGTGGGTAGACAAAACTTTCGCTTTCGTTGGGTCGCCTTCGTTTTTCCAGCAGCTTCTTTTGCTCTAGTGCTAGCGACGACGTCGCTGTCGGCGTCGCCGCCGTCGTCGTCGTTGGCGTCGACGTCAACGTCAACGCGCAGCCTCTGCCAATTTTTCTTTTTCTCAGCTGGCACTTGAACGAAAAAAAGATTACAACAACAGCTGCCCAGAGAAAATCGCTTGAAAAACGGCATGTGGAAATGTGGCAACAGATAAATTTCTATGCCAAAATGAATGGCAAAAAAATGCGAAAATTTCAAGGATACAAAATGGGAACAAGCAGTCTCAAGGCCCAGGTACAGTTACAGTTACAGGTGCAGGTGCAGGTGCAGTTGAGAGGCAGGTGAGGGACACGAACATAACTGAAAATGGGCATCAAGATGACCTTGAACCAACTCTGGCCCCTCGCAGCCCTGACCAATATTTACACCGGACGCTGAGTCCCGTTATATTCGATCACATGCAACTATGCAAGTCCCGTAGTTGGGCTCGTATAAGAGATGGCAGCGGGCCGGGCTTTTACGGCACGGTCCAACACGAACACGAAAATAAACTGAGGCGCGTTCCAGCTCAGTTTAAGATACCTTTTGGGATGAATTTAATAGCCTGATTCCACTAGCATATGCTCAAAATATGTTGCATTTGCAAACCTTACATTCTTCGATTCCATTAGCAAGCGTGAGTTGTCGTTAACATGTGAATGGCAAAAGTACTGCTAAAAAAACAGCGGATCGCTTTGATTGGGACTCCAGTTAATGGACTTGTTGCGGGATTTGGCCATCTTTAAATGTTAAAAACGTGTGGGATTAGCTAAATTTAAAGTTATAATTTATACAGGCAACATATTTCGCATTGGCAAATAATGTAGGAAATGTTGACAGCGGAATTGGGCTAAAAGTTTATATTCTTGTATAAAAATAATAGTTTTTCGATGTTGGCAAAGCCCCTTCGCGAATCTGAGCAGAGCCAGCTGGAAGCATTTGCTGGGCCAATGAGAGAAGTTGCAGAAGTTTTTAGAAATTTCTTTTATCTTTAAAAAATTATGAATAAGCATTACGGAATATTTTGATATTGCGAACATCTTTTCATTTAGCTAGTCAAGTTCTAGACATTTTGGGAGAAGCATGTGAGCTATAAACGGGGGTTGAATCAGGATATATATATCTGATATTATATATACATATTTTTAATCTGATCTGATTTGTAAAAAATGGCAAATTATAAGGAAAAAAGTTGTCACGAGTTCTTTTGTCTGTCTTTCACTATGAAGCATACAAACTGAGAGTCCATGGAAACTATAGCCATTTTCTAAAGAGCATTTTTCAATAATTTCCACCCAATTTCGATAATATAAAGTATAAAAGCACGTTTTCTGCTCATCTGCTGTTCCTAGTCCCAACCGAGTGCCTCTGGGATCCTTTGGATATTCATCCCTTCGCCTTGACTCCAAAGGAAAACCACCTGTAAGCTGAGTTGACCAGAGGCGAATGCTATTGATTTTGCCTATGTTTGTTTCTATGCTGCCGCATGCCACATGCCGCATGCCACATGTGTGTTCTACTTGGAATGGGCTGCGTTGGGGCAGCTAGCGGTCCACTCGCTGTCGCTGTCGCAGTCACTGCCGCAGTCGCTGCCGCAGTCGCTGCTGGCAAAGAAAAAGCAAAAAGAATAAAATGAAAATAAAGGATTTTCATCTGCTTAGCTTTCTCTTTTGGCTTTCGCCGAGTGACGTGTCACTCTGCAGTTGCTTATTGCTCTTAAAACTTTCTTCAACAGGTTGCAAGTTCGCTCCATGTGTGTGCGTGTGTATGTGTGTGTGTGTGTATGCTGACTCTCAGCTGTTGGCAACGGACTCGTTATTCCTGCCCAGCCCAGCCCAGTTCTTACTCGCATGTGCGACCTTGGGCACTAGCTAAGCGCTGTCATGGCAGCAGCCAGGCAGCCAGCCATGTAGCAGGCGGTCAGCCCCTTGTTATCCCGCTTGTCAAGCGCTCAAAAGCCCGCCCCCACCCCCGCCCACACGCCACTAATCCTGGCAACCACACACACACATACACAGAGAGCGAGACTCAAGTGTGGCGACCCACATTTGTTGTCTGACATTTTCCCCATCATTTCTCTACTTGCCCGAAATGGAGATATGCCCAATTCTGGACATCTTAAGTAGCTTGACAGCAGCCGAGTCGAGGAATATTTCTAGATAAGTCTGAAGACTGCTGCTAGAAGCTGATAATGTCCTGCGATCAACTGGCGATGCTTACACGCTCAATCGATTGAAAAGGATATATAATCTGTGGTAGAAATCAATTTTCTAAGTCCTTTGACTCGTTTTCGGGAAGTTTTGTTAGTCATTTCTAACAATAGAAATGGATTTATTACGAGCTGAAAGATCTGCTTATGTCTGGAAGATTGCCCACCTGGAAAACCCAGGTCTTCGGAAATTTCCTGTGGTCGGAAGGACCAACCATTCAGCGCCTGTCAACCTTCCTAGGATCATGGCCATGGATGGACGGAAGACTTGGCTTCCCTGATAATGATCGATGAGTTAATCGTGCTGTGGTCTCGGTAGGCATTTGGACGGAATCATGTGGTCGGATGAACCATTCAGCGCCTGTCAAACAAGGATCCAAGGAACATGGCCTGATAAGCAAAAGACTTAACTTCCCTGATGATGATCGATAAACGAATCGTGCTGTGGTCTAGCAGGCAGCCCGATAGGTTTTTAGAAGGATGGTCGGATGAACCAACTAATTAGCGGCTGTCAACCTCGCAAGGATCATGCCGGATAGATAGACACAACAGTTGGCTTCCCTGTTGATGATCCATAACTTAATCGTGCTGTGGTCTAGCAGACAGCTCGGTAGGTTTTTGGACGAAATCAGTAGACCGTTAATCGAACTACTTGGCACTCTCTCGCGTATGCGAAAAAGGGCTCAATTTGTGGTTTCACCCGGCCAGAGGTGTCCATTGCAAATTACTATGCTACGAATATGTGTGTTTCGACGCGAAACCTGTTTGCTATCTCTCGGCTCTCAGCTCTCAATGCTCGACTATCGAGACTGCCGACAAACTGCTTATTACTTGAATTCTGCGATGCGGCTGCATTAACTATGTCTCGCTGCGAGAATGCATGAGCTTGTCCCAAAAGATTTGAAGCTCAGCTGCAGGCAGGGGCCAGGAACCAGGGGCAGGGACACCAAAACAAGCGATGCAGAAACTGGGCCCGATAACGAAACCGAAACCGGGCAAAAAAAAAAAACCAAATTGAATGCAACCAAAAAGGATGGGGAACGGAGGGCAGCGACAGGGGGAAAAAACAACACAGCGATGCAAACATAAAATCCAAGTATTAAATTGCAACGACCTATATAGAAAGAAGGCAGCGCGATGATCACCAGAAAGAGCGGGAGTGAGAAAGGGGATCGGGGCAGTCGCTGGTGATTTGTCCCCTTATCCTGGTCTTACTTGTTTTTGCCCAAAAGTCAGAGAGAAAGAGAGAGAGGAGAGAGAGAGAGAGTCGCCAAGGATTGAGTGGGGAAGATTTAAATTGAAAAGTGCATTGTGAGCGCATAATGTTTGCCAAGCTTGTCCCGGCTGGAAGATGATGATGATGATGATGATGATGATGAGGAGGACGAAGTCAGATAACGTGACCTGGCGCACCAAAATGTTTCGAGTTGGTTTTTTGGCAATGCCAAACACACACACAAATACACACAGAGAGGGAGAGAGAGAGAGAGGGAGAGAAAGAGAGAGAGAGCACCGAGCAGCCCGCACGCGGAACTAAGAAAACTAGTTTCCAACAAAAAAAGGCAACCGAGCTCGGGCTTCGCCCGGTTTCACTCGCCCTTGGCTGCAGCTCCCTTGGTCAACTGGTTTGTTTGAG